AAAAAAAAAAAAAAAAAAGTAAGATTGACTTTGGGTTTCTTTTCCAGTTGTTTAAATTTGTTTTCATTTTTATTTTTTTGGTGTCTATGTCCTTTGCAGTATTTCTTTATTGAATCAGTGGGATTTTTTTCTTTTTCTTTTTTTGTGGTACTAGGGATTGAGCCTAGGGGTGCTCTGACACTGAGCTACCTCCTCAGCCAGCACCTACATTTTGAGTTGCAGCCCTTTTTATGTGACAGGGTTTCACTGTGTTGCTGCATCAATGTTCTGTTTTTTAACTAATATGAAGGTACTTATTTTATCATCTTAAGTCTTTAGTCATCATTTTTGTGTCTCCTGCTATGAAGCTTGGTTGGTTTCTTTCTGCACATCCTAAGATTTGCTTTCTTTGGGGCTGGGGCTGTGGCTCAGCGCTAGAGGGCTAGCCTTGCACGTGAGATCCTCGGCACCACGTAAAAACAAATAAAAGAGGGCTGGGGATGTGGCTCAAGCGGTAGCACACTCGCCTGGCATGCGTGCGGTCCGGGTTCGATCCTCAGCACCACATACCAACAAAGATGTTGTGTCTGCTGAGAACTAAAAAATAAATATTAAAAAAAAAAAAGATTTGCTTTCCTGAAGCAGGAGTTCTTTTCTGATGTTGGTCTACCCGGTAGAAGGCTCTGTGATTAGTTGCCCCTGGCCCCTGGGTGTTCTGTCACACCCACTATGCACCTGGCTCCCTGCCAGTCATATTTGCCTGGCTGGGTCAAAACATTTCCTTCTTTTGCCTTGAGTTCCAACCCAACAAATACAGTTATTTTGAACTTGTCTTTCACTCTTCCTACTTTGAAAGTTTCCTTAGTATAGGAAACCTATAGCCACTGAATGGCCTAATATAATTGCTTGTGCATAGTAAGTGCTCACTTAAAGTTCATTGCATGGATGGGTATGCTTGCATTCAGTCATTTCAGTATTTGTTTATTTTTAATATTTTTATTAGTTCTAATTAGTTGCTCATGGCATTTGAATGCATCTTGACACATTGTACATACATGAAGTATAACTTCTCATTTGTCTGGTTGTACACGATATAGAGTTACACAGATGCATGTAATCATATATGCACACAGGGTAATAATTTCCGATTCATTCTACTATCATTCCTACCCCCACACCTCATTCAGTATTTATTGTATGGTAGGTGACAAGGACAGGTGCTTAGGAAACAGGGCAGACGTGGTGTTTTGTCAGAGCCCTGAGCTACGCCTTGTGACACCACCGCCCAGCAATAACGTGCTCCTTTTCAGGCGATTTGACTTCAAAATTCAAAAAACAGAATTTCTGTGTCTCTTTCAGGATGCTGAGGAGTGCGACAGGGCAGGGAGTGTGGCCACCTGCCAGGCAGTCATGCGAGCTGTGATTGGAATCGGGATCGAGGAAGAAGATCGGAAGCACACCTGGATGGAAGACGCTGACAGTGTGAGTGTGGCCTGCAGGTGTTTGAACAAGACCTGGAGCGTCTGAGAGTGACATCAGGCCCTAGGACTAGTAGGAGCTCTAAGTCTTTTTGACATTCTCATCGTAAATGTAGTTGCAGTTGAACGGAAGAATTTCCTGTGTACCTGAATTTCTGTGAAGAGTGTTTTTGTGTGTATAGGTTGGAGGCATTGGGGATTGAACCCAAGGGCCCTCTACCATTGAGCAACATCCCCAGCCCTTTTTATTTTGGGATAGGGTTTTATTGATTTACTGCCTGGCCTGGAATTTGCATCCACTTGCCTCAGACTCCTGAGTTGCTGGGATCACAGGTGAAGAGCTAATGAGGCTAATGAGCCCAGTGTGTCACCTAGTGTCACACAGCAGGTGGCAGCATGTTGGCTGCAGTGTCCTTAGCTGACTACCTCAGTGACATCGGGTGCTTCCCGTTCCCTGGTTTCTGCTGCATGTTTCATTTCAGAACATTCCAAATACAGAGTTTTGCCTCCTTTGGGATTATTTTCCTCAGAACAAGTTTCCAGGAGAAAGATCATAGGGCCAAATTGATAAGCGTGTTTAAGGCCAGCCTTAGCAAGACCCTGTTTCAGAATAAAATAAAAAGTGATAGAGCATCCCTGGGTTTAATTCTCAGTAATACCAAAAAAAAAAGAGTATAAAGTATTAATACAGACATGGCCCTCTGTTTTTAGCTTTTCACTCGGAAATAATAATATCAGATATACTTTAATGTTGCAGAACTGCAAAGAGTTCTTCCATGCCCCTTGCCTCACTCCCCCAAGTTACCACTCTGCCACTGTGCCTTGATCTCCTCATTCAGGGGCACACGCCTGCACCATGCTGCTGCTCCTTAACTGCTAGGGAAGCTTGTGCAGACGTGCACTCCTTTGCTCCTCAGCACTGTGGCACAGCACAGCATGTGTGCTGTTGCCTACTCTATAGACCTGGCTCATATCTCACCAGGCAAAAGAAAGAAGCAACTATGTTCTGCTTAGAACTGTTCAGGGCCATGTGCTCAGGCCAGTCTGGACCAGGCCTGGTCTGTCTATGTGTTTCAAGTCTGAATCTTGATTACAGGCTGCAGTGTCGTAGGTCCCTCTTTGACCTGGGTCTCTGCACTATTTGCTCATGGCTGGGTTGAGATCCTGTGCCTGGCAGGGATGTCAGGTCTCCTTGTAGTCACTGACCAGCTGGTTCAGGGGATGGCGCCAGGTCTCTCCTCTCTGTGGCTGCTCTTTTTTCCTTTAGGACTAGTAAGCATTTGTGAGGAGAAACCTTGAGACTATGTGAATACCCTGTTCTCCCCAGAGAACCATTATTTTCAGGATCTGATAATGACGATTTTGGCCAAATCATTTGTTTCTATGTAGTGTTTGCCAGATAATCAATTTGGCTGGGTGTGGGTTGGCGGGAGAGGACAGTTCTGGGGATTGTATTCAGGGTGACTCTTCCACTGAGCTATACCCCCTATTTCTTTAAAACACATTTTTATTTCAAGAGTGTCTAAGTTGCCCAGGCTGACCTGGAACTTGAGATCCTCCTGCCTTAGCTTCCCCAGTTGCTGGGATCACAGGTGTGTGCCACAGCCCAGGCAAATAATTGGTTTCCTAAATACTGTTTGTTGTACATGTTGTGAGCTGCTGCTGTGTAGTCACGGAGAGCAGCTTCCCACACTTTGCTATATTAGTGCTTGTCCCTTTCCATCTGGGCAGGCTGAGGACTTCTCCCCAGCCTGTGGGGTCATGCTCCAAGGCTGGCATCTCTGAAGCCTGTGAGCCTGTAGTTTCAGGTCCCAGTGTGGCATGACCCAGAGCACAGGCACTGGCTTGTTGACCTGCATGTGGGAGTTGAAACCTAGGTTAGTGGTGATGGTCTTTCAGAAGATTTTTATCATGTTGGAGCTGTGGTTGCAGGTCAGTGATAGGGCGTGTGCATGTACCAAGCATTGCCTTTGATCCTAGCACCAAATAAATAAATAAATAAAGTATAAAGACTAATTTAATCCAGGCACAGTGCCTGTAATCAAAGTGACCCAGGAGGCTGAGGCAGGAGGATTGCAAGTTTAAAGGCTGGCAGTAATTTAGTGCCAAAATAAAATAGAAAGGGCTGGGGGTGTAGTTCAGTGGTTAAGCATTCCTACATTCAAAAAAAGACTAATTTAACAAACTTTTGTAGTCTCTGTATTGAGTGAAAATTCCTTGGTTAAATGAAAGAATCCAGTACCTGGTGTCCAGCCCTCTTTATTCTGGACATAGAGTCATAATGCTTTCCCCCTTTGTCCTTCTCCTTATGGCTTTTGACCACTTCAGAGGCTCTTGGTGGATGTCACTGCAGGTGATGCCTATGTTGACTAGAGTAAGCACAGTTACTTTTCAACACTTTGTGATGTAAGAGTCAGAACTGAAGTTTCTCTTGTACTAGAAGTAGGGAGTGTTCTCTAGTGTCCTCCCCACCCTGGGACTGGCCCATCCACCCCAAGACCCTGGACACCTAATTGATCCTGTGGGGTGTCCCAGCCATTCTGCAGACAGTTGTAAGATCAGACAAGGAGCCGGACACAGTGGCACATGCCTGTAATCCCAGCGGCTGGAGAGGCTGAGGCAGGAGGATCACAAGTTCAAAGCCAGCCTTAGCAGTGGTGAGGTACTAAGCAATTCAGTGAGACCCTGTCTCTAAATAAAATACAAAATAGGGCTAGGGATGTGGCTCACTTGTTGAGTGCTCCTGACTTCAATTCCCGGTACCTCCCACACTCCCTCCCCGCCAAGATCAGACAAGGTGGTGGAGGATCTGAAAGCCTTGTCACTGGCCCCATCTGCTTTGGACAGAAGTCACAGGGGTGACAGGCTTGCTCTGTCCATGTCTGACACAGCATGCAAGGCAGGTCTCCCTGATTTCTGTGGTGGTTGAGTCAGAGGAAGACTCCATGACAGAGGAGGTCACACTTGCTCCTTGTCCCCTCCCATTTCCACACACCGAGTGTCCTTTCTCTGGAAGGGCAGCTGTCCATCTGAGAAGGGATCTTGTATGGCCAGGTACCTCCCCTGTGGCATTTTGTCATTCATGGCTGAAAAACGTTGTACTTGTCCCTTCTCCCTTGTGGCCTTTTACTCACCTCCATATTTTAATCCCTTCTTGGAACAAGGGTACCTTGGATGTCTGCATGGTGTGGAAGGCAGTGATTTCTGTTGGGGATGGTTCCCGTGGTCCTGTGTGCAGTTGCTAGAGGACAGATGTCTGTGCCTGTGCAGTGAGTCTGGTTGTCACGGCCACAGCGGCAGATCCATTCAGCTGGCTCCTGGGTGCTCTGTCACTGCAGGTGATGGCTAGGCTCTCACTCAGTTCTGTTGTTTGATTCTACCCAAGAAAGAAAACCTCCTGAGCGTGGGAATACCTGGAAGCAGGCTGCACAGTGGTTCTGTTGGAGTGGGGGCTTTCCTTCCTCTTCCCTCTCATCGTTGTCTTCAGGTTTTCAGTGTCACTTTTATAAAGGAAAATATTTACCTTAATCTTAAAAAAGGAAACTATTGCTGGCGATGTGCAGCTATGGCGCGTGCGTGTGCCACATGGTGACTGGTGCCCTCAAAGGCAGCTCCCAGCTGGCTTCAGTGCTCGTGCCCATCTCTGCTGTCCCTCTCAGATCACAGTTCTGACTAGATGGCCTGCTGTGGACTTTCTAGCAGATGTCAACTAGAATCTGGAGAATCATGGAGGCTGGGCAGGCGTCAGCACCCTCATGTCCATCTCTCTTTTCTAGTGTGTGGCCCACAATGCCCTGGAGTGCGCACGGGCCATCTACGCCTACGCCCTGCAAGTATTCCCCAGCAAAAAGAGCGTATGGCTGCGAGCTGCATACTTCGAGAAAAACCATGGCACCAGGTACGAGGTGATCCACCTGCCCCTGCCACTGACTGAACCCCTGGCTCCTCTCTGTATGGCACTGGAGACCCATGAGTGCTTCCTTTTGGGTGAGGGGCCTGATGGGGGTGGTGTGTGTGATGAGGACAGGAGCTTTATGGTCCTTGGGACTTTGCAGTTGGACTGATCTTTATAGTTCCATCTGAAATAGGATCATAGAGTTGAGAAACCAAGGCTTGGAGGAGGCTTGTCCTGAGGTGCTGTCTAGAAGCTGAAGCCAGCAGTTGGTGCAGCTGTGTCTCGTCCATGCAGGCTGTTTTCACTTAAGCTGTGCTGGCTCTGGGTTTGGGTGGTTTGTGCTCAGAGGAGGTCCTTGACAATTTTCTTTAATTGTACTCTTTAATTGAAAAAACCTTTTGGTTCTGCCTTATTGCCTGGAAGTGCTGATTAAATTAGGCATCACAGTTTCTGGTTTTAAATGGGTAGTGCTCCAGGGCATCAGGCTCATGTCCCCAGGGACCCTCCATCCATCCCTTCCTGGGGCCTCTGCCCTGCTGGGTGGGTTGTGCCTGGCTGGCTCAGTGAGGTTGCAGTGCGAGGGCTCAGCCCTTGTGTCTTTTCTATTCTGGCATTGTTGAGTGTCAGTCTCTTCAGGGCCCTTTCCTGTACTGCTGGAGCTCCCTCCCAGCACTGCCAGCTGTTTTGGTGTTTCAGAGTTAACCCCTTCAGGGCCATGGGACATTTTGAAATGATCCTGATGACTCACATTGTAGGTCACCTGGGCAGGGTTGTTGTGGGCTGAGACCTCTTGGCCCCCATGGCCTGAGCATACACAGCTGCCCGCTTGGTGCTCAGGTGCACTTGGTCCTCCAGGCCCACTGCCCCAAGGCCGAGGTGCTGTGGCTTATGGGGCCAAGTCCAATGGGCTTCAGGGGCTTTTTCCAGGATGTCCAATCAGAAGGATGGGAGGGCAGTGATGCTGGGGTAGGAGTTCTAGTGGGGCATGGTCTTGCCCTCAGGCCTCACAGTGTGGCTTTGTATGTTTACTGTGACCTGCTGCTGAACCCCACAGGGGTCATTGGTGAAGGGCATGTGACCCAGAGGCAGCAGACCAAGGAGAGGTACTCAGTGCTAGAAGTGTTCTTGTTTAGGAGTCACCTAAAAATCACTTTTTTGTAATAAGGCCAGAAGAGTAGACTCTTGTCAGTGGATCCGGCGTGTCCTCCTGTTCGAGGTGAAAGGCCTTCCCTGTCACCTGACAGGGAGTTATCGCTGCCTCCAGGCCACACACTGTAAAGGCCCTGCTGTTCAAACAATGCATGCTTTGTGGAACCCTCTTCAGTAGTTGGATTTAGAACCTTTATGGAGAGGAAAGATTTCCCCACACTCTCCCCGTTGTAAACTCTGGTAAATCATTTATAGTGCCGAACTTTGGAGTAGTAACTGTCTTTTTGCTGCCCGTGCTGTGTCTGTGAGTGCCTGTGTGCTCTGGTTTATGGCCCTGGCTCTGGTGATCCCGATCTCTGTCTTTCAGGGAGTCTCTGGAGGCGCTCCTGCAGAGAGCCGTGGCCCACTGCCCCAAGGCCGAGGTACTGTGGCTTATGGGCGCCAAGTCCAAATGGCTGGCAGGGGATGTGCCTGCAGCGCGGAGTATCTTGGCCTTGGCCTTTCAGGTATGTGAGGGGTCACCTGTGTGGCAGACCCCAACCTCTATGCTGGCTGGTGCCTGAGTACTTCCCATGCACGTGTTCTGGGATGGATATGCCATGATCTAGATGCCCTGAGGGGCCCTGTGAGCGTGAAGCCCAGCTGGGGAACTCTTCCCTCCTGTCCCTATTACTCAGTGTGACCACAGGTTGATGTTTCAGATCCTAGAACACAGGGTCACATGTGGGCTCTGTGGAAGCCCCAAGGCCCCATCTGAGGGGAAGCCTGTTGAAATTTCTGCTCTTGCCAGTCTGACCATCCAGCTGCCATGTGGTGTGCAGAATTTTTAAGTATGTTTTTATTTTTGTTGTCATGTATAACATCCTAGTGACAAGAAGGTATTAGATGGTTTTATAGCACACTTCTTAGTAAACCATGGAGTACCATGAAAATGCCATGCACTCTTGCAGCCCAGGCTGCCACCAAAAAGTGTGTCCTTCCACCAGAGGGCCTGGCTGGGTTAACACTTATCCCAGCTGCCTGCTGGAGAGAACACAAAAGAGGCAGTGTCCTCCCTACCACCTGATGACTGCTGCCCATCACCTCACACTGTTGCATGCCAGAAGCCCCAAGGTGGCTTTCCTTGCCTGTCATGGGGGCTGCTTATCAGGTGTGACTTGACTCCTGCTAGTTAGACTTTGTCTGGCTACCAGCTCTAAGGACACATCGAAGTCACTGTTTGCATGACTCTGGATTGTTGAGGGGCCCTCTCCACGCAACTCAAGGCACCCTGCACCTCTGTCTGCTCACCTGAACACAATGGGGCAACAGAAAGAAGGAAAAGTAAGGTCATGTGTAGTGAGCTCACACATGCAGAATGTGAGTGACCCACTCAAGAGTGAGAGGGCTGTGAAGGATTCGGGTGGATCCTGGATGTGCCTCTGAAGCCTTTAGCATTGCTTCAGTTCTGTGGGGCCTTCCTCTGCACAGAATAAGGGTGGAGCATGTGTTTTCAGGTGAGCTCAGGTTCTTGCCTGGGGTCCACTGTCCTTGCCTTGCCTGGGAAGGGCTTGGACCTACCAGTCCTGCAGCAGAGCAAGGCCTGGCCGTGTCCCAGGCTGTCTTTAATTATGTGTGCACCAGCCCTGCCACTGGTTCTGAACCCATCTTGACATGCTGTGCTTGCCCCATAGGCCAACCCCAATAGTGAGGAGATCTGGCTGGCGGCTGTGAAGCTGGAGTCTGAGAACAACGAGTATGAGCGGGCCCGCAGGCTGTTGGCCAAGGCGCGGAGCAGTGCACCTACGGCCCGTGTGCGTAGTGGTGGGCAGGCAGAGTGGGGCTGTTGGGATGCATGTGCAGGCATGGACCTGGCACCTGGCCTGCATGTCAGTGAAGAGGGAGAGGAGGAGATCCCAGGCTGCAGCCCAGTCCCGGGTAGCTTTGCTTCTTAACCCCCCTGCTGTGAATCAGCTTACAAGGCACACCACCTCCCTCAGGATAGATATAGGGGGATGAGCCACACTGTGCAGCGAGTGTCCCGGGAGTGCCTTCACTGTGACTCACACGTGTCTGCTCACAGGTGTTCATGAAGTCTGTGAAGCTGGAGTGGGTGCTAGGGAACATTGCAGCTGCCCAGGAGCTCTGTGAGGAAGCCCTGAAGCACTACGAGGACTTCCCCAAGCTGTGGATGATGAAAGGGCAGATCGAGGAGCAGGGAGAGCTGATGGAGAAGGCTCGGGAGGCCTACAACCAGGGGGTGAGCCTCTGCAGGGACACCTGAGCTGCAGCTGGCCTGCCTCATGGAGCCAGCACCTGACACTGGCTGTCGCCCCCACCTCCAGGGAGAATTGGAGGGCTGGTGGTCAGTGACTCACTCAGGCCCCAGTTGGTGGAATTGTAGGCTCAGGACCGAGCACTGGTCCCCGCTCTGAATTTAGTGCTTTTACCTCTGCAGAGCTGCACACCCTGTGCCCAGGACCTGTGGGGTGCAGTGCACAGAACATGTAGTACATGTGCCCCCATGTGCATAACACAACCACAAATGTAGAACACATGCTCTGAACACACCTATGCATCTCCCACACACCCCATACACGTGTATGTCTGTAACCCCTCAGCATGTCTGTAAACCCTCGGGGAGCATGAGGTGCCATCTCTGGACACAGCTCTGAGATTCTGTCAGGTGGAGCACGCCTCTGCTATTTTGCAGTCCTTCCCGGACACCGTCTGAGCGTCTCTCTTGCTTGGTTTGTTGGCCACAGTTGAAAAAGTGCCCTCATTCCACACCCCTGTGGCTCTTGCTCTCCCGGCTGGAGGAAAAGATTGGACAGCTGACCCGAGCTCGGGCCATTTTGGAGAAGTCTCGCCTGAAGAACCCAAAAAATCCTGGGCTGTGGTGAGTGTTGGCTGTTGACCAGCTTGCCCTTTAGAGGGCTGTCCTCACAGTGGGCCTATACAGCAGGACCCGCCTGTGGGTGGTTTGATGCTGTTTAACGTGCTCTGATAGAGGGTGCCCAGGGAGCCAGGGGTTAGTGATGGGCTAGGGAGTGGAGCTGAGCAAGCACACTGCACAGAAGAGGGGGCACGGGCAAGGGTTTGCCAGGGGAAGGGTGGTGTCCTGCCTGTAGAGTTGCAGGGCTCTGTTCAGTGTGAGAAACCTGAAAGGACCCAGGGTGGGCACACACTCCCTAGTTTTTGTCCTGTTCTGCATCTTCTTCATCTGGAGCAGTGGGAATCCAGGGCTCGGCAGGGACATCCGCCTCTTGTGGATGAGCTCTGCCCTGCAGCTGCTGCTGTTCCTGAGCCTCCAGGGGCCAGCAAGGGTTTGTGCTGCAGGTAGATGGGGCTTGGATGTCCCTGGGCTTGTCTCTTCAGGTTGGAGTCTGTGCGGCTGGAGTACCGAGCAGGGCTGAAGAATATTGCCAACACACTCATGGCCAAAGCGCTGCAGGAGTGCCCCAGTTCTGGTAAGGGGCTCCTGGCTGGCTCTCGGGGCCTGTATATGGCTTACTTTGTTCAAGTTTCTCTGGACTTGGTAATTAAGATGTTTGGACTGAATTCCCAGTCTCAACATGGAAGAGTTTGATTTCATGTTCTGAAGTGCTGCCGTTTATTTTTCTTTCAAGATTTAACTTACTGTTGGGTGCGGTGGTGCATGCCTGTGATCCCAGAGACTCAGGAGCTGAGACAGGAGGATCACAAGTTTGAGTCTCAAAACAATCAAAAGGGCTAGGACTCAGTGGTCACATGCCTGTCATCACAGCAGCCTAGGAGGCTGCAACAGGAGGATTGAAAGTTCAGAGCCAGCCTGAGCTACTTAGTGAGGGCCTAAGGACTTAGCAAGACCCTGTTTGAAAAAATAAAAAGGGCTAAGGGTGTGGCTTAGCAGTAAAGTATCCCTGGGTTCAATCCCCAGTAGCCAAAAAAAAAAAAAAAAAAAAAATTTGGAGCTAAAAGGAGAAACTAGAAATCACCTCCAGGTCCACTAGTCTAATCAGGAATCCCTAGTCTTACTTTTTTGTAGGATTACAACCTCTATGATGGTATACAACTGAAGTCATACTGGGTATTGAGTATTTTACCTTTTTCATTTTTTTTCTTTTTCTGGTGATGATGCTGGAAACCAGACATGGGGTCTAGCACATGCTAGGCAAATGCTCTACCACTGAGCTACACCCCAACCACTTTGTAATTTTAAGATAGTCTCACTAAGTTGCTGAGGCTGGCCTAAAATTTGTGATCCTCCTGCCTCAGCCTCCAAGTAGCTGGGATTATAGGCATACGCCACTGCTCCTGGCCTGTTTTACCTTTATAAAGCTGAAAGTTTTGTGAGAACTTTTGGTTCTTGTTGAACGTTCAAGAATGCAAATTTCAGTAACATACCTTCAGTTCTTGGTCATTTGTTGGATGCTTAGGTCATCTTTAGTTTTTGTTGTTGTTATTTTTCCCTTGTGGTACTGGGAACCGAACCCAGGGGTGCTCTACCACTGGGCTCCATCCTAGCCCTTTTTGTTTTGAGACAGGGTCTTGCTGAGTAGCTCAGGATGGCCTGGAATGTGCACCCTCCTGTCTTGGCGTGCATGTCACTAGGATTGCATGCTGTGCCATTGTGCCTGGCTTGATCCCCATTTTCCTATGTGAATTTTTTAAAGTTTTTTAATTTTAACGTTTTTAGTTGTAGTTGAATTCAATACCTTTATTTTATTTATTTACTTTTTATGTGGCTCTGAGGATCAAACCCAGCATCTTGCACATGCTAGGTGAGCCTTCTACCTCTGAGCCACAATCCCAGCCCTCCTGTGTGAACCTTTACTAGGATTTTTGATTGTCTTGTTATAATAAACCCTTAGGTGTACAGTTGCAGAGTCTGCAGGACTGGAGGCTTGGCAGTGGTTGATGCTTCTGGCCATCTCCCCCTACGGGTAGACGGGTGCCCAGGCTACTGCTGTGCAGGGTGGCTGTGGCAGATGGAAGCTCAGCCTTTGTGGCTGGCCCTGAGGGCCCTCACGTGGCCTGTGTGGGGCAGGCAGATGTGCTTCTGTAACCACAGGCAAGGCTGAGGCGTCTCTCTCTCAAACTTCAGGGATTCTGTGGTCCGAAGCCGTCTTCCTGGAGGCAAGGCCCCAAAGGAAGACCAAGAGTGTGGACGCCCTGAAGAAGTGTGAGCATGACCCCCATGTGCTGCTGGCTGTGGCCAAGTGAGTGGGTATCCTTTTGGATTACTGGCCTTGAGTGCCAGTGGGGCCTTGGTGGCACGGCTGCTTCTCCCTAGCTGTGCCAAATGAGCAGGGAGCAGGGTGGGCCACCCTGGTCCTCAGCTGGGAAGCTTTTGCTTCTGTCTTCTGGGGCAGTGTGTCTCCTGGCAGAGTCCCACAGCGTGCACTGTCTAGTCACCTGGACATCTGTCCAGGTCAGTCCCTCTCCTGGGCCTTCTGGTTGCTTGAGTTCTCCTGCGGTCCTGGGTGTCCTGTGGGCTGTACTGCATGTGGCCTGAGTCACTCAGCAGAGACACATCTGCTAGTGTTGGTCCACCCTTTGGCTTAAGGGGCTTCATTACGTCAGAACAAGAAATCATGCACTTGTGGCTCTATGGTCCTGGGATCAACCCCAGTCCAGTCTGCAAGCCTAAGAGCGTGGAGGTGACTGACTAGAGACAACCTCTCAGAGCACATGGTCTTCAGGGGAAGAAGGAGTCAGGGAGGGACCTCAACACGTGGTCAACGCCGCTATGTGATGCTAGGTCAGAGGCTGCGCCTGGGAGGAGGCGACTGGAGCCTGAAGGACCTCAGGATGATGGCACCAGGTTATGGTCAGGATGTGCTGTGCCTTGAGAGCCATGCTGAGCCCACAGGCTCTCTGCTTCCTTCTAGAAAGGATTGGGCTGGGTGTGGCCGAAAGGCCAGCAGGTGACTGTGCAGATGGGACTGAAGAGGGTCTTCAGGGAGGACTGTAGCTGCCCCAGGGAGGTGTTTTGTGTTCTCCAATCCTGGTTTTTTTGTTGTTGTTGTTGTTGTTGTGGGGATCCAAGAGCCTTGTGCATGCAAGGCAAGCACTCTACCAACTGAGCTGTATCCCCAGCCCTTCTTCAACCCTGTAGTGATGCTTAGAGGCAGAGCCTTCTTGGGACTGGCCTTTACTCTGCTCCAGGTGGCAACGGTCTCCAGGGTCTGATGTGGCGGCCCTTTACCTGTGCCCCTCTTGAGCTCCTGGGCCCCTGCTGACAACGGAGGCTTCTCAAAGCCTGGCTAGTACCTGCCTGGGCTTCCTCCTCCCAGAGTGACTTATATGTGGCCCTCAGATAGGGCAGCCATAAAAACCTTATAAAGGCTTTGCTAAAGTAAATAAGTCACTCCTTGCTGTTCTGATATCTGAGTTTGCACTCTTTAAATCACAGTTTATCTAACACCAAGCAATTAAGAGTGCCACACGGCTTAAAAAACAATCAGGTTATCAATGTGAAGTGACTCCGTATGGTACCTGAGACTGGCCCAGACGGTAGTGGAGTGGAGGCCACTGTGCTGGCAGCTGCTTGGTGCCTGTGGGTGCTAAGCTGAGGGGTGGTGGGAGCAGCCCCAAGTCCTGGGCCTGCCAGAGTGCCCACCACCTAGCATGCCCTGCGCCAGTGGGAAGGAGGAGGGTGCTCATGAGTTGGGAGTGTTGAAGGAGCAGTGTGATTGATTGGGAGTGCTTCAGGACAGTGGTGGTTGATGACCCAGATGCTGCCTAGACAGTCCAGGACCACTGCTCAGGCCTTCCCACGGCATATGCCAGTGTGGGTGCAGATGGGTAGGGGAGCCTGGGGTCACACTGCCAGGCACTGCCTGCGCTGGGGTGTACCCTCCCTCTGAGTCCTCCTGCCCTCCTGCCACAGGCTCTTCTGGAGTGAGCGGAAGATCACCAAGGCTCGGGAGTGGTTCCACCGCACGGTGAAGATTGACTCCGACCTGGGGGACGCTTGGGCCTTCTTCTACAAGTTTGAGCTGCAGCATGGCACTGAGGTGAGGCACACAAGCCAACCAGTGTGCCAAGACTTCTTGTCTGTCCCCAACCTTCTGGTACTATAGGGAGCTCCGCCAGCACCCCTCAGTCGTGGGTCTGGAGAGTAGGGTTGGGGCACAGTGATTAACTGATCACAGTGTTTTCTTATTATAGCCTGAAATTTATTTGCTTAGTTCATTTTAAGTGGTCTGTTATTTTGTTTTGTTTTGGTTCTGGGGATTAAGCCCAAAGGCAGTTTACCACAGAACTACATTCCCCATTCTTTATTTTTTATTTTGAGATATGTTGCTGAGAGTCTTGCTAAGTTGCTGAGGTTGGCCTGTAACTTGGTCTTCCCACCCCATCATAGGCATGTGCCACTAAGATTGACCCTATTAGCATATTTTGAGTTGTTTGGTGATTGATGGGGCTTGGAGTCTCCTTAGAAATGAGACTGGAATTGGTTTGTCCTCTTGGGCCTAATCCAGGGGTGGTATTCCAGGGGAGCCTAGGCAGCAGCCCCTCCCCAGCCAAGCCTTATCAGAGCCATATCCATGGGGTAGTCACCAGGGTGTCCTGGGGTCTTCCCCAGAGGTAGCAGGCAGACCACTTTGAATCTAGTGAGTGCCTTATTCAGACAGTGGACCAAGAGCCTGACTTAGGTCGGCACACAACCACGTTGGCTGGGTCTGGGCTTCTAACAGAGGGGCCCATCTGAAGGCTCACCCTGCTTATCCTGGAGCTACATGGGTACCTGCCCTGCCCACAAGCTGGGTCCAAGTCTGCAAAGGGGGTAGGTGTGGGGCAGGCAAGGCTTGAGACGCCCCAGGAAGAGCCATGCCTGAGTGCTTTGTGTTCCCTCCTGCAGGAGCAGCAGGAGGAAGTGAGGAAGCGCTGTGAAAACGCAGAGCCCCGGCACGGGGAGCTGTGGTGCACCGTGTCCAAGGACATCGCCAACTGGCAGAGGAAGATTGGAGAGATCCTGGTGCTGGTGGCTGCCCGCATCAAGAACACCTTCTGATGACCCAGTCTGGGGCAGGGGTGGGACCATAGGTGGCTCATGGATACACATGGGCAGGGTTGACTATCTGCCCAACGTTCATTAAAAATCCTCATGTCGTGGGTAAGGGTGGGGCCTGCTGTCTTGTGCTTTTGCAGCCCCACCAGCCTCCCACACAGGTACGGGGTGGTCCTAGTTCCTCTGGTTGGGGCAAGGCCTCTTGCAGACACCTGTATCCTACAGAGGAAGCATGGTGGGGTGCCAGGGCTTGTTGAGGTTTTGTGGAGAAGGTAGTGGAGTCAAGACTCTGGAAAAAGTGGAGACACTCAGTCACCAGTCTGTAGCACAGGTTGGAGGCCACATAGGGACTGAGCTATGAGTAGGGGGAAACACTTATAGGAGCCCCCATGGTCACATCCGTATGGACAGAGACTTTCCAAGCTGGGGCCTCCTGGAGTGCTGAGTGTACCCAGCAGAACCTGGCTGTGCCCAGGCCTCTCCGTGCTGGCCAGGCCCTGTGGAGATGTCCACCATAGGAGCTTGTCTTGCTTTTGCAGGAAAGTCTGCTTTTGCTAGTTCATGATTAGCAGCTTTATCCTGAAGCACTGTGCCTGTCCTCATTGATAGATGGAATTTTGTATTGCAGAGATGTGACTTCTTTCAGCCTTTCTGCTCTGTGGGGATAAAAAAAAATTCTTGGACCTTGAATCTGTGTGTGTGTGTGTGTGTGTGTGTGTGTGTGTGTGTGCGCGCGCGCGTGCAAATTCAGTTGAGAAATAGCTCTCAGGAGTGGTGTGTAGCCCATGCCAGGTGGCTGGCTAGAGAAAATGGCTGTTCTGGAGGGCAATGGACGTCTTCCACTTTGGCCCAGCAAGAAGATAAAGTGCCTCTGGGGATGGTGAAGGACAGCCTCTGACACCTACTTCCTGTAGAACAGCTGTTCTCCAGTCTTAAGTGATGCACCCCAGGGGGCTTCACATCTCCTGTGCCTGTAGCAAGGCCTGCAGTGGTAGTAACAGCACAGCTCAGCCTTCCTGCAGACAGGGCCCTGCTGGCTTGGGGTGCCTCTTCCCCTCCTCCCAGGCCCTAAGGAGTGCTGGCCACAGGACCTCAGCTTCAACTGTGGGCATCTGGGGTGGATGGGGCCATGCTGTGGAAGCCATGGGCCCAACTTGAGGATAGCAGGCAGGGACCATCTTCAGAGTGGAACCAGAGATGCTGGTTGTTTGGTACCAGGCAGTCATATGGATGTGCCAGCTGACCTGTGACCTGTGAAGTTGTGGTCAGTTGTTGCTGCCCTGTCCTGGGAACTTCAGAGGCAGCCTTGGATTCACTGTAAGCAGCCTCCTTTGTTGGTGGGAAGGGGCAAGGTGGCCTCTACTTTGAGTGGCCTGTCTCTTTGGTTCCTCCGGAGAAGAGTGATTGGCATGAAACTACATACAAGGCCCTTGGAAGGTTCCAGAACACCTGCATGTCCAGAGGTGCCTCTTCTCATCTGCAAGGGGGTGGCTTTCCCACATGTCACCAGCTTCCCTCCCTGGGAGGCTTAATGTACCTTTTCTTCAGCTGAAGGTTTTTAGCCCAGACTGAAGGTAAGCCATGTTCCAGAGGCAGAGCAGCAGCCCCTGCCCATGACAGGCCCCTTCAGTCCAGGAGGAGAGGCTGGGCCAGCAGCATGGAAGTCTGGGAAGTCCCAGATCTTGACCTGCGAGGGCAGGACTTCCTGGGAGTTGGTACAAGGGCTTGTGGTCATGGGGCAGGGAGTTGAGTCCTGTACATCAGATTCTGTCAGCCAGTTCCTGGGAGGGGCAGCACTTGGTGACCACTGAGGGGGACCCCAGTCAGCCTTGCCCACAGCTGGGCCCTGCTCACTAAGCACCCTCACTCCTTGATGAAGTGCAAAGTCTCTGGGGCTGACAACTCCCTGTGGGTCAAACCAGTACCCTCAGATTCTGAGCAACCCTGGCCTGCAGGACAGGCCAAAGTGGGCTCCAGGGCCAGACTGACTGAAGCAGCGGGGTAGAGGCTGGGAGAGGGAGGGGCAGGCTGGCTGTGGGCCTCTCTTTTCCTCCCCTGTCTCCTCCCTCCTCTGCTGGAGGAGCCAACTTCAAAAGCCTCTCCGCCTGCCCTGCAGCAAGGCAGTCCTGTCCAGGGAGCCCCGTAGACTGGTGTTGGACCTGGAGCAACTGCCAAGTGCCAGCTGCACTTACCACCATAGACCCAGGACCATGTGCGTGGTCCGCTGGAGGGAGTGAGGGAGGGCAAGACCCTGATTGACCAATGGTGAGCAGCTGGGCATGGGGGGTGTTTGGTGTGTGTGTGTGGGGGGGGGCTGGAGTGCACATAGGCCTAGGAAGAAGCCACTAGTGGTTCCCAGCAGATTACAGCATTGGGACCAGCTTTGAGTGCATGCACCACAGCCTTCCTGGAACCCTTTCCTCCCAAGCTAGGCTAAGCCTGCGACTCCCTGGGTAGCCAGCCTGTCCCTCCAGCACCTCCCACTGGCCTGTCCTGAATTGGATGTACTACACTGGGACTGCAGTCCATAGAAGGTTTAAGCCCTCAAACAGTTGACCATGGTGTGTGGTGGGCCTCAGGAAAGGGTACAGTGAACTGTCTGCTCTTCTGATTGCTGCTTGGTGCCGTGGATAGGAGGCCCCCGGCCCTCCCTTCCCCCCCCCCCTTTAGATGAGGTTTGGGTACATGCAGTCAGACTCCCCTGCTGGTGCTGGGAAGCAGAGTCGAGTCCTGTGGTCCGGCTGGGTTCACATGATTGATTTTCCAGCCCGAGTCGGCTGTCTTGACTCTAGCCTGAGGGCCTGGGAACCATGGATTGTCTTCTTGATGCTTGGGCTTCCCCTGAGAGCCAGTTCCCACCCCTGTTCTGGGTAGGAAGGGACCTGTTGGCTGACTGCTTGCAGTATGATATGGTGGCCCCCTTTCTCTCCATCATCTTTGGGGGTTTCTTTTTTTTTTTTTAAGAGTTTTTTTTTTAGTTCTCGGCAGACACAACATCTTTGTTTTTTGTATGTGGTGCTGAGGATCGAACCTGGGCCGCACACATGCCAGGCGAGCGTGCTACCACTTGAGCCACATCCCCCGCCCATCTTTGGGGGTTTCTCCAGCCTTTCCCTTTCCAATGAGGTGTAGTTTGCAGCTCTGAGTCTGCCTCTCTCTGGGTTGACTTGGGGTGTGTGTGTGAGGACCCTAGTTCTCATGGCTCTGTGAGCTGGATAAAGCACAGCCATGGGTAGAGGGTGGGAGCCACCATGTCACACAGGGCAGAGTGGTTCTACTCCACCCTCTGGGATGGCAGAGCTTCTATTCTATTCTGTGGGCATCCAGAGGAGATGAGGTGGGGAACTTGGCAGGAGGAAAGCCTGATCCAAGTGGTAGATTGTAGCTTGTGGGTATGGTCCTGACCCTGGCCAGGGGGTGAGGCTATAGTGGTGCAATTAAATGCTGTGCCCCTGCTGTGCAGAGCCCCTAGACCCTGCCCTCCAGCCTTGCAGGGGGTCCCTCATCCATCGTCTGTCTTTCCCAGATAACCACAGCATTTGGCCCTGTTTTGGAATAGCTCCTTTATTTTCTTGGTCCTTCAGGGATCAGTGAAAGGTGCCCCACCCCACCCCACATATACCCCAAGATCTTTGCACAGAGCTATCTGGTTTGCAGGCCTGTCTAGTTTCTCCATCCTTGAGACAGGGACTTATCCTTTCAGCCCTGTGTCCAGAGGCTTTGTTGGACAATGACATCTGTTTTATACCAGTTCAGATTGGGGCAGGGGTACACCTTCTCTGGTGGCCCAAAGTGCCTAAAAGGATGCCCCTCATACTAGAAGGCACTCCATAGGCTCACATCCCAAGCCCAGACCTGGTGTCCCCTCCAGGTGCCCTCCAAGCCCACACTCTGCGCCCTCCTGCTGGCACTGCTGTGGTTGGTTCCTGACTGGGCTAGGCCCAGTGCCTGCAGCGTCCCAGAGGTGCTCCGCCACTATCGCGCAGTCATCTTCGAGGATCTGCAGGCCGCAGTGAGACAGTTAGGGCCAGAGCCAGGCTCGGGATACCACCATCTCCTTGAGAAAAACCTAACTGGAATGGGCGGAGGGCGGAGACGACCTAGTGTCTCCTGCGGTGCCCAGAAGGTATGGAGTATGTACCCATCCACCTTCCCTCACCCACCTACACCTTCCCTCAGGACCTCCCCTAGGGCTCCCTGGCCCCAGCTTTCCTTCCCTCCCCAGGAGCACAGTATCCTTCTGTCCATTGAGTCCCTGGGCCAGACTCTGCGCCGGGCAGTGACTGGGGGCCGCCGTGGTTCCCTGGAGAAAGCTGCATGGACTGTGGCCCTACGCACCGAGGCGGTGATGAGGCGCCACTGCTGGAAGCTTCGCCAGGTGTGTGTCCCTAGTGCATGCCCCTCCCCGCCACAGAGCTGCCCTGCGGTCCATGGCTCTCCCAGCTGGAGGCTCACTTCCGGCCCACTGGGCGGGCGCATAGTCGGGGTGCCTTCACTGACCAACCATGGGTCTTGGACAGCAGAGCCGGCGCCCCAGGATGCGTCCTGTCCGGCGCCGCGGTGGTCGGAGGCGGCTCCTTCTACGTGCCCTGGACACCGTCGCCACCTGCTGGGAGAAACTCTTCGCGCTGCGCGCCACGGCCACCGGGGAATCCTAGTTTCCCGCCCTGCCCCCCGACCCAGCAAAAAACTTGGGGATCCGCGGCGGAATCTGGCAACAAGCCTCCTTTGATTGATGTCCCGATGGCAGCCTCTTCTGCTCGCTCAACCAGCCTGCCCTCCCCGAGGGCCCGGGACTTGGGAGAAGCAAGCCATGGCGGGTCCCGGAGGTGGCCCGCCCCCAAGAACCGAGCGAGGCCTCAATAAATGGAGTTGGTGCTACGGGTCTGAGTCTTCTTTCGCTGGTCAGGCTGTGGGCCCTGGGCCACCCAGGGTCTGCTCCTCCGTGGCAAGGCCAAGGGACTTGAGCTTCCCTCCACACCTGGGCGCGGGCGGCAGGGGGCGCGCGCGGGGCACTGGACATGGCTCCCTGTGAGCCGAGCTACACGGGGTGGGGCACTTGCAGCCCGTTGGGGCTCTAAAACGTCAAATATCCGTCCTGCTCCTTTCTGGACCGGAGGCGGGAGGTGGAAATGGAGGGGAGGGGAAGCTAAGCTTGGTGAGTTTGGAGCAAAACAACCGGATAAAGGAAACAGGTCTGAAGGGAAACCAGCACTGCCGCCCCTGGCCGCGAGCTTGGCCAGGCCATTTCCTGCGGCCTCAGGGGGGTGGTCACTGCGGGGGGCCTCCAGAGACTGCCCCAGCCCTGTCCGCGGGACCGCCTGGCTGGTCCCTACTACCACCCCTAGCCCATGGGAAAGAGGGGTAATGCCCATGGGCTGGGCACCTGCCTTTGCTCTGGAACAGGAGGAGTGGAGGCAGACATGAAGGACATGAAGGCAATCAGCCACGAGTCCCATCCCCGCCGGCTCCCCATCACACACAAAGGGAGCTGTTGTCCCTGCTTCACGGGTGGGGAAGCTGGGCCCAGATCACACAGGAACTGTAAGAGCTGGCTCTACCAAAGCACTGTGGACGGGGCGGGGCTTCCTGTACTTCAGGACTTCAGATTCGACCTGCTGACAGTCTTCCAGGCCACCTCTGAGCACAAGTACAGAACAGCCCAGACCTGCTTTCTGCATTGTGTGCTCCATGGGGGGTGGTGTGGGCAAGTGCTAGCGGTGTTGAGGTGGGGATGCCAGGCATGGCCCAAGTGCTGGAACCTACCTGGGGCTTCCTGCACCTTAGATGGGAGCCTACAAAGACCCAGGCCTGTGTGTAGATGGGTGCCAGACATGAAGGGGTAATGAAGGAGAAGACCCTGGGATCCCAGGACATGGAGGAAAGCCTCCTCTTGCATTGGGGACGATAGCGGGGAAGTGGAGGGAGTTCAGCAGCATGAACCTGGGCTGAATGTGACTCCCTTCAGTGACCTCTGCTTTACATACTCAGGTGTGACCAAGTCCAGGTGGGGAGAAAAAGTTCCAGTTTGTTGGAGCATAGGGTGTAGTGCAGCATGACCAGGGCAGTTAAGTGGGGGTTTGGAGAAGGTCAGTAGGAACTGGGAGGTGTGTCTGGGCTGAGTGCAGGGACAGGATGAACAGGCTTAATCAGGACTCTCTTGGACCCATTTTTTCCCACCCTGGGGAAACCAAGAGCACTGCTATAATAAACAGCTGGGAGTCACCTCTGTTCCACCATTGCTTCTACCTGCCCACAGTGACCCCCTGTTCAGAGCAATCTGGCTGGGAAGGTGGGTGGGCAGCAGGCCAGCTCCCTGCCCTTGTGATTGAGGAAAGATGAAACAAACCACAGTGTTCTGGGGGCTGGCTGGAGGACAGGCAGAAACCTCAGAGTTTTGGTGACACAGGTTGATGCCTGAGTTCTTGGGCCAATGGGAGAGAAGCCCAGGCCCATAGTTCCTCTGTAGGGGGCATGCCAGCATCAACCTGGGGGAGAGGGGCTTCAACCCACTGTAGGGTCTTTTTTTTTTTTTTTAAAGATAGAGTGAGAGAGAGGAGAGAGAGAGAGAGAATTTTTAATATTTATTTTTTAGTTCTCGGTGGACACAACATCTTTGTTGGTATGTGGTGCTGAGGATCGAACCCGGGCCACACGCATGCCAGGCGAGCGCGCTACCGCTTGAGCCACATCCCCAGCCCGGGTCTTTTTCTTTTAGAGCAAGACCAGGTGCACAGGCACACCAAGACTCAGCTGCCAAGACATGGAGACCAGAGGAGAAGCTAGGTGCCTGCTTAGACCATGAGAAGCTGAGCTCTTCAGTCTCACCATGGGGACCCCAGGGGCAGCTTCCCTGTGGTCTCTTTGTAGCTCTGAGAGGACAGGTCATGTTGTCCTCACTCTCATCTGGCACAGACCAGCAGCAGGAGCTCTTCCACAGACATTTGCTGGCTGGAATTAACCAGAACCAGCCCAGAGACGCAGGGACTCTATCATGTATGGGGCTGGAGCCTGCATACAGTCTTGCTCTGTCCCATGCATGCCTTCTCAAGGCTCAGCTGTTTCCAGGGATGTAGGAGGTATGGCCCCGAAGGAGGAGGCTGTGCCAGAGTGGCAGATGGGGCCTGCAGGGCACTGGCTAGGATTGTGCAATTTCCTGCAGCCCAGGAGCAAGGCCCCCCATGTGCGGCACTGGGAGGAGGGGGCCTGGCAGGCTTTGAAGGGAGCCTGGGTTCCATGGCCTCCCAGACTGGGAGCCTTTGAAAGAACATCTGGAACTTGGGTGACAGGCAAGCCAGTCTCTGAATTTGCAAAACCAAAAGTTAATCCTGACTTTGCCACTTGTGTGTTCCCCACCCAGCCCCACCTCCCACCTCTACCTCTACCAGGGTGACAGCTGCAGCCTCTTGTGGACTGGGGCAGCACCTTCCCCCGCATCCCACTACCCACCACCCAGCCCAGGATTATTGCTGAGCTGAAGAAGGGAGGGATGGGAAAGATGAGGGCTGTCTTCTCTGTGACCCCTTTGCATGGAGACTCAGCCAAGCAGACTCTGGGCAAATAAGCTCTGCTGCATGCCTGGTGTGGGTGCTGAATGGGCTCAGGGCTGCAGCCCAGGCAGGGAGACCAGGGAGGAAACACCTGCTCCCAGACCTGGAGGATGCCTGGCTTTGTGGGCTCTTGGCCCTTTCGTGTGAGTGTGAGTGTGGGGTCCCAAGACCTGCAGGTGTGCAAGGAGGCTGCCTGCTCCAGCTGTGGTGGACTTGGAAACAAACAACCCCCACCCCAGGAAGCACATACTCACTGGGGGCCAGTGCCAGGTGTTGAGACCCATTGTCCCTGCCAGTGGCCTTCAGGACCTTGGGGGAGGCCCAGGGAAAGCCGCCATCCTGCCCCTCCCCAGGAAAAGACTCAGTTTTGTAAACACAGAAACAACCATTCCCTCCATTAAAATCCGGAAGAACCAGCAAGGAGGTCGCACCTGCTGTGGGAAGTGAGTCCTTGCTTGGGGGAAATTAAACGGGTCAGGCCCTCAAGGGGCTGGTGGTGGGACACCATGGGGTCAGAGGCGTCTCCTGGGGACATCTCCTGACCGTGTTGACTGGACTCTGCTCCTATCTGCGGGAGGGACTTCAGTCCGAAGTGCCCTGGGAGGCTCTTTGACAGCAGTTTCCACCTTGTCGCTCCCTGACCCCCGCATGGCCTAGTTGTGGCGCTGGGGAGAGGCCGCCAAGGCTCCCTGCCAAACGAATAGCCCTGTCCTTGAGCTGCCCCAGGCGCCCCCTGCCCGGCGTGAGGCCAGGGGTCGAGGCTGCGGCCCGAGATAAGCACCGCTTCCTGCCCTCGCTCCCAGCGCCGCCGCGCGACGCTTCCTGTTTTCTCACGCTGGCGGAGGGGTCGTGGGAGACGGGGCGCGCCGAGAGGCGGGGTCCCAGGGAAGGGACACCCCGGGAGAGCCGCGCGAAGGGGTGCGCGGTGCCCTCTTGCCTACCCTGAGCACAGGCTGGGCCCGGAACCCCTCCCAGGTTCTCCTCCTGGGCCCTCCTTCGTGGACTGGTTCGCAGCAGGGTTACAACAGCCAGAGGATAAAACCGCTGGGGAATAGGTAAAGTGGCACCACGCAGACTATGAGCAGCGAGAAGGAATGACATTCAGTCGCATGCTACTACACGGGCGGTGCCCCGCACCGTGATTCCACATACACCGCCCCTTATAGGGCACACTTCCAAGACCTCAGGGCTGCCTGAGTCTTCAGCCCAATACTGAGTCCTGTGCACTGCTTTCTCTAGACAGGGACCTATGATCAGGGTTAATTCACAAATTAAGCACATTGAGACCGACAACTGATAATATAGAACAACTCAACATGGCTGTAAGAAAAGTGTGTGAATGTCTTCTCTCAAGATACCTCATGCTGTGCTACCCTCTTCTTGTTAATCTTAAGTAACAAAAAGTGATTGGGTGGATAAGGGGAGTAGTGTGTATGAAATGTCCAGAATGAGCAAATCCATAAGATGAAAAGCAGGTTAGAATTGTTTAGGGGCAGGGCATGGGAAAAATGGAGAATGTTGGGTTTCTTATGGGGGTGGGGGGTGATGAAAAAGCTCTAAAATGAGACCGTCATAATGTTCACAACTCTATGAATATGTCATGTAGGCTGGGCTCAGTGGTGCACACCTATAATCCCAGTGACTTGCAGGGCTGAGGCAGGAGACTGCAACTTTGAGACCAGCCTCAGAAACCCTGTCTCAAAATAAATAAAAAGGGATGGGTATGTAGCTCAGTGGTAGAGCACCCTTGGATTCAATCCCCAGATCACAAAATAAAATTTTTGTGTAGGTTTTGTAGAATGTAAGTTAAGTGGTTGAGTTTTCTAGTGTCCAGGTGAGTGGAGGAAGAGGAGGACATAGACTCCAAACACACCTGCCCCCCTTGTCTGCCCCAATGTGTATCTTCAGGTGGCATGTGTTGGTGTCCTTAGGGTGCTCAAGGTAATAAGCATGCCTGCTGGGGACAGAAGTGCACCTTATCTTCTCTCAGCACCCCTTTCTTTGTTGAAGAGGTTCGACACTTCATCCAAGTGAGGGAGAGCCTGGTTCTGAACATGGAGAAGGAGAGGGAGATCAGAACCCGCCCCCCCCCCCAGGAAGGAGACCTATAGAGCAAGGAGGGAAAGACTAGCCATGGTCTGGGGTCCAGCTGGAGGGTAGCTCCATCCTTGGGGGAGAGGGTAGAGGTGCTGGGAAGAGGGTCCTGCCGGGAAGCCATCCAAGGTCGCTGAGGAGCCACTGTTGGAGTTGCCCTTGGTGGGCACGATTCTGCTGTCAATGTTACAAGCCCCTAGGACTTGCCCCAAACAGGGACCCTGACACTGGAGATCT